TGTTATCACATCACTAAAACTTCAAAAACTGCAGTTATCATCTGCTGTATAATATTTCATCAATTCATTTTTTTCAAATTATTTGAATGTGTAAAACACCCTATAAAAATTTGTTAAAATTTTAAAAGGATCATTGTATTATAGATAAATTGAAATATGTTAAATAAGCCAATTTATACAAATAGGCACAGATACCGATATTATTATATTTTGCATAACAATAAATAAATTGGTTAATTCACTCAAAATATAAATTTTCAATATAATATTGGTTCAGTTGAACACAAAGTTAATATGTTGCGCATTGATCATATAAAGAAAACTATGATATAGTAAATTCACATCCTCTTTTTTTTTTTTTTTTGTAGATACTAGATGTGTGTGTAGGTCCGTAACTGTAGGGTGACAACCACACGATCCCTAACGGAACATGCCAATATTGTATTGAAAATTTATATTTTGAGTGAATTGACCAATTTATTTATTGTTATACAAAATATAATAATATCAGTATCTGTGCCTATTYGTATAAATTGGCTTATTTAACATATTTCAATTTATCTATAATACAATGATCCTTTTCAAATTTTAACAAATTTTAATAGGGTGTTTTACACACTCAAATAAATTGAAAAAAATGAACTGATGAAATATTATACAGCAGATGATAACTGCAGTTGTTGAAGTTTTAGTGATGTGATAACAAAACATTTTTTTTATAAAAAAAGTGCATGCGTGATAGATTATATTTTAAGAACTATATGTGTACACATCTATGGGGGCTAAATTCATATTTTTTTGGAGGGGGGTAGACCCTTAAAATGTCACTAATGATTATAATATGCTGGTACCTATATAAATAAACATATAATTTTATTTTAAAGAATTTYTTTGTTATACGTATGCGAAATGGCCAGGTTCAACTGGAGTATTAATATCCCCTAAATTGCTTAGGCGACTGGTAAAACGACTGTCTTTTCTGAACATTTTTGGATAAGATTTGCATACTGGAGATTTGGCTTTGACCATATCAACATCYCTCACATGTATTGACTTGACTACATCAGTGTACAASGGATATTTTTGTTGAAGCTAAAAACATAATGCTCTATATTACAAMATTATCATATTAAATATTATTATACAATACGGACATTATTGCTATAGCCTATAGGTATGCAATTATAAATAATATATACAAATATACATTTGTTATATAAAATAAAATATAGGTGAATCAAGATTGAAATCTCTATCAATGCTTTCCATGAATTGTGATTTAACAAGCAGTGTTTCATTTTAAAGAAGTCATAGCAAAATTTCAAAATAAATTTTTAAACATCGAGATGATCAGAAATTCATATTAAAATAATGTTATTGTATAATTATTCAATTTATATGCAATTGAAGAAATAACCAACCGGCGTCATATGATAGTAGGTATATACGGCATATAAATATATAATATACCTTAAGTTATGAAAAAAATACGTTTTAAAGGAAAGGGTATTCATTTTTATAGGTTTGATATGGACAATTCAACTTTTTTTTAAACAAAATTGAATGTATACATTCAATTTCTATACTACATTTGCTGACGAATCTTCAAAATTTTCAACGATGGCAATTTTATTATTTTTAAATCTATTTTTGTGCTATCAACAAACATTATACATTATACACATTCAAAATAGGAATTAACAAATTATTTTTATTAAATTTAAAAAAGCTTTGAAAAAKTTGAGAAAAATTTGCATTTTTGAAAGAGAATTACGTAGAACTTTAAATAACTTTGTACTCACTACAAAAAATAGTAGTCTATTAAAAAGTAAAAAATGCAAAGAGTGCAGGGGTTGAACATCCAAAACCTTCCATATGTTTGCCTGCACTGTATAGGTTTATAACTTAATTAACTTGTGTATTAATAAGTTTAGCTGGTATATTTTTATCGACGGATTTCTCAAAATACATACTTCTTCGTCAATTTCGAAGCCCAGTTCTTTAACTTCAAATCCTGGAAGGACGAAGGACTCTGCGTACGTACTACAGGCATTGGCCTCGTTGGCGCGCCGCTGTTTTTCTTCGATCTGTTCCAACGCCTTCTTGGTCATCTGTTGCCACATGAACTCCTCCAACATGCGTCTCTTGCGCTCTTCAATACAAATATATGTTTTATGCACGAGAAAAAGTATATTTAAATGACAAATTCCTCCAGCCCACTTTCCCCTCCTACATCACCACACGTAAAATCCAATCGTTTTTATGACTTTGTCCCTGTCATGCAATATTAAGACTCACCTCTTTCGGTCTCGATGAGATTTCCATCCCGCTCCTTCTTTGCTTCAACAACCGCGTCGTAATGTTCCCGGGTAACTGAAGGCTTTTTGTATTCATTTTCTCCGCCGGGTGACGTAAATATCCATCGTTGACTATGCATTTTCTTTCTCAAACTATTTGTTTTGTTTGGTCACTTTTATTCCACGGTGCAATAATTTATCATGTATCGGTCAACCACAGCTATTATAATACTTATTATGTTACGAAAGTTTATTTTCTATCAGACCACCATCTTGAGTATATCAGCCAGCATATAATAAAAAGATATATAACATTTATCTCTCAAGAAAAATAAATTATATTCTATACGGTGTATATTTGAAATGCATATAACATTTTGCAGAATTTAAAGTATTTTGAAAATGGACTAGTGACGTGGCCCGTGTACATAAATATGGAGTAGGTAAATATAGGTATAATATATAAAAATATATAAATAATACAGGTAGGTATACCTACAGATTTCTAATATTAAGTGATTATTTAACACCGTTTAATTGTTAGATTTGTTCAAAGTTAATGACGCACAAAGATGTTTTGAGTGCAATGTAATTAAAAAAGTTACCCACTCACCCAACCATTTTTTTWAAATAAAAATTGCTCCAAAATAATATTTTCGTCATTCGCCATACACTGCCACGGTATAATAGTGAAGATATCTTCTCTACATCGTAATTCGTAATGGTAACAACATTTTAGCCTCCCTCCCCCCTCTTGCCCAGACTATTTTCATCAGTCCAGGCGCATTTTTCTAATTTTTTACGTACCTAACTGAAAATTTAAATTAAAGTTTAAGCTCCATAAAGAATTAAATGAAAAATAAAACTATACGTTCGTTCAGGTTCGTAGTTCGTTTCACGTGAGCATCAGTACCTACTACACTACAACAATAAGTCAATAAATAACTATTAACTATTCAGAAATCTGCAGTAGCGGATTTTCAAAATTTTCTGGGGGGGGAGGTCCTAAAAAATAATTTGTATTTCAAATGTATTATTTTAATTTTAATAAAAACAAATTGGTCATATTATATTGAATATATTGTGTTTATGCAAATACGATTGTAAAATATTTTATTATATTATTATTATTTCAGTAGGTTCTTGATAGTCAACCTAGTTGGTAGTTACTTATATTATATTTGAAAAATGTACCTACATATATTATTATGTTATACGCCATACGGTATACCTACCTACTGCAGGGTCAGACTCTGTGTATGCATAATGCATTATTTAATTATAAATGTATATATCAGTGTCTGGGGGGTCCAGACCCCATGGCCCCCCCTCGTAAATCCGCCACTGGAAATCAGGAAATCTGTAAGAGCGTAAGAACACGATGTAGAACGTATCTTATGTATTCGTAATCCTATTATCTATTATCTGGTTGTAAGTGATAAKCGCTAAATAGATAATGGTTATCGGAATCAACCGGTTCCGTCCATGGCACGATTTGAGATAGTATCAGTACTATCAATAATTAATAATTAATAATATGTACTCAGTCCCATTATGACTACCGAATACCGATACTCGATAGTCGAGTAGTCGAGTTGYTGGTAGACATTACTACATTAGACGTCTGATCGAACTCAAGAGRATACATTTTTAAATTATTCTATGATCAAGTAGACCTGAAACTCAAAACGACAGTTGCAGCTTCCAAAGGAAAGTATACAACTTTTGAGAAAAAAAAAATGGAAACAAAAAYGTACCTATCTACGAGACACAAGTTACATTCAAATTTGGAATTGGTAAGCTAAAGGTTTTGCTGTTAGAAAATACTTCGATATGTTCCTGTACTTGAGCAAAAAGGTGAGTTCTATTTGTGAAAATGAATTTTATTATGATGATAATATGATTTCCGTGTTAAGATCGCCATACCAAACAACACAAAAATCAACTGTCTGGAATGGAATTCTAGTCAAGATTGCATAGCTGTGGGCGGAGACGACGGACTTTTGAAAGTATTGAAAATTGATTCTGGCACTCCAGCGGATGGAAAGCTCAGAGGACTGGCAGGCCAAGCCAACCTATCAATAAACAAAACTCTTGAGGGTCACTCTGGTAATGTGTTGACTATTGTGTGGAATGAAAAACACAAMAAACTGACTTCAAGTGACGAAAATGGGCTAATTATAGTTTGGACATTGTATAAGGTAATAAATAATAGCAATATATGGTACATGTATCCTTAATTATATATTTATAGTTATAAGTTATAATAATTAATACTAATAAAATTTGTGTTTTGACCAACCCCTAGGGAACATGGCAAGAAGAAATGATTAATAATCGTAACAAATCAGTCGTTAAAGGTATGGCATGGGATGGAGATGGTGAAAAAATTTGTATTGTCTATGAAGATGGTAAATCTACTAACATGTATTTCTCAAATTAGCCATTCAATTTGTATAGTTAATAATTAATAATATATTTATATATTTTGTACAATTTCTTTTTAGGAGCTGTTATTGTTGGTTCTGTTGAAGGTAGTCGCATTTGGGGCAAAGAATTGAAAAAACTCATGTTGACAGGTGTCCAGTGGTCTCCAAATTCAAAATTTCTTCTATTTACCATAAAAACCGGTGAAGTTCATTTGTTTGACAGTGATGGAAACTTCATAGTATGTAAATTGTTTCACTGATTGGCTAAAATGATACAATTACTGGTTTTGTTTTAGTCCAAATTAGGCATGGTGTGTCTACCTGTATCTCTTAATAATGTGCCAATTACTGCCTGTCATTGGCTTAACAAAAATATAAATGACTGCCCACAATTGGCTATTGCATACAAAACAGGACATGTACAACTGATGAGAGACCAATATGATATGAGTAATTTTTTAAAAACAATTATTTATTTTCTCATTACTTATTAATGTATTGTATAATAGATCCAGTAGTTTTTGAATGCGATATGTCGATTGTGGCTATTAAGTGGAATCATAATGGCAGTGTTCTGGCTCTAGTTGGAACATTAATAGTTGACRGAGATRTTAAAGAATCCAATGTCCTTCAACTTTATTCACCTTTTGGAGAAGTGAGTTTTTTATTTCATAATAGCGGTGACATTATCTATAATATTATATTTTTTTTCCAGCATTTGAGAACCCTTAGAATTCCTGGTTACATGGTGTCGTCTTGTTGTTGGGAAAGCACATCTTTGCGTATCACCTTAGCCATTGACAGTTTTGTTTACTTTGCCAATGTGCGATATGATTACCCTTGGTGTTATTTTGCTGGCACAATTGTCTATGCATACAGAAATCATGAAGAAGCTGTAACAGAGATTACATTTTGGAATATAAAAAAAAACGAAGTAGGACATTTTTCAAACATGTGATAGAAAATAACATTATTTAATACAACACAAACTATTTTCCTCATAAATTTTAGTTTTACCACACAAAATTTGATTCATTGCGATGCATGGACGCTTACAGAGATCATTGTGTTCTTGCTGTAAGAAATAATAATGATGAATCCAAACCTTATACCCTCATCATTTGCAATAATATAAACACTACAGTCGATAGTAAGATTTTAATTTTTATGAAACTTAATGTTTGAAAAAAAACCTATTCAATCTTGTGTTTTTTTTTTAGCCAAACACATAAATTTTGAACCAATATGGATTGCAATGAATGGAACCCTTGTAATTGTTTCTTCACATACAAGCTTCATGACTTGGCAATATTCTGTTCCTAAATCACATTCTGCATCCATAACCAATGGTAAGTTATTAACATAGGTGTGTCTACGAGAGAGACAGTGTGGGCACCAGCCTCCCCAGTGACTTGATTCTTGGCGTATAATTTACCGTGGTTGAAAYACAGATTTCTATATAGTTAGTAGTGCTATATAATTTCCATACAAAAATAWAAAGTCACAAAKATAGATTACAAAATACAGATCGTTGTAGTAAGTAAAAAATTAAAATTTTATAAATTGCCYCCMATGGAGGCCTGGACACGCCTATGGTTATTAATACGTCTTTTACTCCTCGTATATAAGTAGCATATAAATATATTGTACTGCTTAGTACATAATGTAAAACTTGTTAATTTATTATGTGGTTACAGTCAAGCGCAAAAGAGTGAAAATGTTTCACATAGATGATACTCCTTCTGGAGTTGATGAATTAACTCAAGAATCTAGAGAATTCAAAAGCTCGTCGTTTCAGAAAGTAAATCATCTGTAAAGATGTTGAAATCAAATATGAAATGTTTAAAATATGTTATTTAGGAGACCAAGGATCGCATAACATGTATAACCGCAAGTGATCAATATTTGTTGATTGGTAGAGAGAGTTGTGCTTTGCAAAAATACTCATTACCACAAGTGGCTTTGGTGGAAAGGAAAATGTTGTCCTCTAAACCTTATAAATTGGCATTAAATTCAAATTCTAAGTAAATAAATTTTTTTTAACTTATTATTTTAGTACTCTTAAAATATAAATATATATTTTTTTTTATCCAGAAGATTGGCTGTCATCGATTCAACTGGAGTTTTAACACTTGTTGATATCTCAGAAGATAATGTTGTGAAGGGATCTACTAATTCAGAAGCTTCAAATTCATTCCAAAGGCGAGATGTGTGGATTATGAAGTGGGCCTCAGACGATCCTGAGCTCTTAGCAATAATGGAGAAAACTAGAATGTATGTCATTAGAGGATTTAACCCTGAAGAACCTATTAGTACTTCAGCCTATATTGCTTCTTTTGAAGTAAGTTTATTCACTTTGACAAATAGTGATGGACTAGTCTAAGCTCTTAGAAACATATGGAATATTTAAACTTATTTGTATAAGAGGATGTTATACCTGCATTTTGCATGTGTTGTCTCCGTCTTACATGTGCATAATATAGCAAATTTTAAGTTCAACAGAACACGTTTAGCTCTGTTAGTTTAAAAATCATAGTGAATTGACCTCTTATAAAATTTAAAGGTAAAATATTATCTAGGCAACCTCATGATTTTATAATTTTATTTCAATTTTTCAGCAAGTTATATGTATTGCATAATTATAAATTGTTAGTACATCTTAATATACTTATAACTTGCTTCAAAATTAAAATATATATTAAAAATTCCAAGAGGTCATCTAAATATTAATCTTACCTTTAAATTTTATAAGAGGTCAATTCAATCTAATTTTTAAGATAACAAAGCTAAACATGATCTGCCGAGCATACAATTTATTATGTTACACACTTGTGAGATGGAGACAACACAGCATGTATAGYGTCCTCATAATAAATAGTTATTAGTTTTGATTTTGATTTCTTAATAATGACAAGAATAAATATGTGATTTAATAAATATAATTGTAATTACATCAAATCTAAGAATTAATTTTATGTCATATCTAAACTGTAAAATCAGTTTTCTATTTTAGAAAAACTCTCCTGTATAAAGTGTCGAAACTAATGGAAACAGATAACTTTATTATAATTTATTATATGATATATATTTTTAAAGAATTTAGAAATCCAAGCATTTCTATTAGATGAAATTATTCAGTCTCCAGAAAACCCTTCTCTCGATTATGTTATAACGTTAGAAACAAAATCATTGCGTGACACAAGACAACTTTTAGATAAAGTCAGCATTGAAGAAGCAATTGCATTTATTAATGATAACCCACATCCAAGGCTATCGTAAGTACTTGTAAATATTACTTAATTATTTCACATTCACTCATCACAATCAAAAAATAATACCATCTTTTTATCTACTTTTTGAGTTAAAAGAAATATTAAATTAAATTTATGTTAATATGTTACAACTAATTTATCATTATATGTGTTAATATCAATTAAATGTTAACTAAACTCTGGTTTTATTCTAAGTTCTAAAGCCAAAAWGAATACAAAATATATTTTGAAATTTAAACTTAGCTAAGATATTTTTAAGGATTTGATACATGGAGCCTGCAAAATAATTCCATGATTTTTATTTATAATTTTAATTAATTTAAACTATTTTGTTTAGGAGACTWTTAGCTGAAGCGTCATTGCAAGCTTTAGACCTTTCAACTAGTGAAACTGCATTTGTACAATGTAAAGACTATCATGGTATCAAATTAGTAAAACAATTAGCTAACATAAATGATATCCTTTTAAAACAAGCTGAAGTAGCTGTATATTTTGGAGATTATGTGAAAGCTGAACAACTATATATTGAATCTGATCGGAAGTATGAATTTTATAATTTTTRGTAYCAAATCTTAGAYCATTATTTCTAAGCTAATTTTTAATAACTGGTCATCGATTATATTCCTCCTGTATAGAGATTTGGCTGTGATTCTACATCAGAAACTAGGCAATTGGTTTAAGGTTGTTGAACTGTTGAAATCAAGTTCTTCACTTCTCGGCATTTCCGGCCTCACAATGAATTTAGCGTGGCAAGGAATTGGCGATCATTTCTTAGACAATCAGCAATGGTCTGTACTGAATAAACAAAAATACCKGCACAATATTGTAGTAATATAGTTGCTTACTAAAGTGATCAATATTATTTTACTCATAGGGATTTGGCTGTTGAATACTATAAAAAAGCCGATAACCCAGAAAAGCTGGTAGAATGTTATATAATACTCAAGGATTATGAGTCGTTAGCATCCCTTGCTAAAAGTCTGCCAGGAAACCATCCATTATTGGAAACAATTTCTGTGTTTTTTGTCAATAGTGGGATGGCTGAAGATGAGTCTATAGATCAAAATGTAAAGTTGATTATTCAATATTAATGATTTTGTGATAATGATAACAATTTAATTGTTTTAGTTTTCAAAACTGACATTGACAAGTWTTGAATTTGATACGAGTAAACTAAGTGAAATAATGAAATGYATGAATGATACCAATCGTGATCAGTGGTTAGACAATGTCAAAGACATGTTGAAAATAATTTCAAAGTGCATAAATGAAGAACGATACACTGAAGCCGCYCAATTAATATTTGCTGTAATGATATGACTAAATATAGCTTKCTACCAGCGGAATGCTCGATATTATCATACATATTTTTAAATTTATTTTTAATTTTAGACTGTTTGTCAAGAAATAAAATCTGATATACAGCCAAATATTATTAAACAATTGGCTACTGCTGGTGCGCTATTAATCGAAGAGTACAAAGAAAAGAACATTCAATCCACCCTGTTGGATGGTAATTAGTTCATTTCCATTTAACTATTACCATGTTWTTAATCTATGATTTTTAATCAATATTTAGTCGAAGAAATTACAATGGAAAATTTTGGTATTATGCCGTTTAAATCTCGTGTTGAAATTATAGAAAACAGTTGGCGTATAGTAGAATCCTTACATTTTTTAATACTTGCTCAACAACAACTATATAACGGTAAATAATACTTMAATCAATTAGTTAGTAACATTGGTGTATTTAYACAATTAAATTAATAAATAATAAGTAATATTCTGAAAAATGTGCACAATATTTATACTTTGACTACTTTATGCTTTTAGGAGACTTCCATTTGGCCCTTCAAACATCGTTGACACTTCGTTACTATGAAGATATTTTGAACGTAGAACAAGTATATTCAATTATAGCATTAGCAGCAATAGTCAACAGCTCGTTTAATATTGCATCTAGAGCTTTCATGAAATTAGAGACTATAGATACAGTAAGTAGTAATTTTTGTGTTTACAAGTCCCATCAAATGTGTTTTGATTGTTCAATTTTGTTTTTTAGAAGAAAAATTATCATCAATTGTCATTGGTCATATTTAGCAAGTATGCTCCCAAAGACTCAACTCCATTATTCATTCAGTGTTACAGTTGTTTGGACAAATTTCCAGCTTGGTAATTTCTTTTCACATTTCAATATACCCAATATAATATGCACACTTAAGTAGTTTTACATCTACAAGGATCTTTTTTGTATGATAATAGGTCGTTGAAATGTCCAAAATGTAAAATCAAACCAGTAGCCAGTATTGTTACGGGTCAGCCACTGACGGAAATAAAATCTCTTTGGTGTTGCAGACAATGCAAACGGAACGCAACAATCATAGATATGGGACCATTAAATTATTGTCCGTTGTGTAGGAAAGAAGTTATTCTTTCTTTTTGAATTATTTCATATTTTGTTAGGATTGCACATTACACTTTCAAGTCAAAATGTATTCATAAATTATTGTTTTGCTGTTGAAACTAATTCCGTCCATTTTACACTTTCGCATGCACTGAGATAAGACTGATCAAWATAAACTAGTAATTTAGATATTAGGTATATATTTATTTAATAAGTAATGATATATTCAGACAAGTTTATAAGATTAGTGTATAATATATTTTGTATTAAAACTAAAGATTGAATACAAATACATTATTCTTTTAAATAATTTTTGTGTTTATTTGTATAATTTTCTAATCAAATAATAATAATCAAGAATTATTTTGAGTATTTACTATAATTATATCATTRGATTTATATCAAACAAAGTTATGTAGACAGTAATTAAAAAAGACAATATATTATCTAATACCTAATTAATTTTGTATGTTACAAAATTGTGGCAAATACTATACAATAATATATATATATATATAATTAATAGTGGCATATTACATGTTTTAAAAATTATTTTAAAAAAATTTCATAGATTATAGATATAGTAATTAACTTAATTACAAAAATGTAATTTAAAACAGTAAAAAATAATAATAACTATAACAACTAACAAGTTAACCTCAAAAGCATTACTTAAAAAAAAAAATGAAAACATTTAAATGACAATGTCTCRTTATTATTGAACTGATTCAACAGTTAAATTCTAAACCATAGGTGCATAAACGATAATAAATAATAGCATCTTATCAATTTCTTAACTATTCATTTGATTTTTTCACTAGGTATTATGATTTATCGATTTTAATTAATAATTATCATTTATATTGGATAAAATAATCAGTGGAAAAATAATTTTTAAATTTTTTTTTTTTTTTTTTTGTATAGAACTACATGAATATTAAGTATTTTAATTGTTAAAATAATATATTTTTTTAATAATTTAATGAGCAACTTTGAATGAAAAAAATTATTTGTTATTTTATCTATTTATTAAATTGTATTTGATATTGTTATCAGTTGAAACTTTTTAATGAATATGTATATGAAATGATCATATATACATTTAATATTTAAAACATAAACTAACCTAAGTTTTATAGGACRAATAATTTTTCTAAGCCTAAACTGTTTCTACCTAAGAAACAAGTATAATTTAAATAAATAAGGTAGAATATAAAAAGGTAATGTCTGCTTCAACAAAGTGTTCCTCCAAAGTCTGCTGTTGATGCTTCTGTCTCTTCATTCTCAATATTGGTAACTTGCCCTTTCTATAAGTTTAACAATAATTGTGAATATATTAATATAATATAAATWAATTAAATTTTGTAACAATAATAATCATAGCATACAGGTTCCACTGTCCATTTTTCRGCCAAACTTTTTGCTAGTATTGCAAACTCAATGTCCATGTGCTTAATAAAAGGACTGTTTAACATTTTCTGAATTTGAGCACTGTCATGATCAGAATATGCGTTTACAATATTGTCAAGCATATAAATCTAATGACACACAAAAGTTAATGTTGAACTTTGTCACAACTATATTATTTCAATATACCTCTGCTTGTTCACAATATTGCATTCCATATTCATGCAACACTTTTTTAGCAGCTACATAATCATCTTTAGCCAATTGAAGTAAAAATAATTCAACAGTTACTCTGCCCATGTTGGACGTTGGACCTCCTTCCGAAACAAGATCAAATTGACGTTTTATTTCATTTTCAGCTTCTTCATACCTAAAAAAAAACAGTATCTTGAGTACTGTAAATCAATAATAATAATGGAATAAGAATACTACCTTTTTAATTTTACCAACAGTCGTGCTACTTTGTGTGTGTATTCCATTGCTTGTCCAGTTGAATCTTCAATCTAAAAATATTAATATCTTCAAAAACAAGTTTTTGCTACATTCTTAACAGCTTAATCAAGTGTTGTGACGTGGACAAAAATGAAAGATATTTTCAACATACCCCAGAAATGTTTGAAGCTTCTTTTAAGAGCTTGATGGCTGATTCTGGATCTGATTGTTGTAACATGTCTGCAGCTTTGTTCAACAATAATGAAGCGCTACCAGAGGATCCATGTTGTTGGTAATAGTGACTAGCTTTCATAGCCAATTTAAACACGTCGCTTGTATCACCTATCTCCTTACACATAATAATCGCCTGATCCATACACCTTAACAAAAATATTAACAGTCTTGAATAACACCAACAAAAAGGAGAGGATAACTTACTTAGCAGCATGAAAAAGTCTAGTACATATAATATTAAGATAAATTTAAAAAAAAAATTTCCAATCTTTTAGTATGCGTTATACCTCAAGTCCTTAAAACACACTACATTCACATTTATATAAAACTTATATATTGTAGAATTATTCTATTAAATACCTAAATTAGAAATACCTACATCTAGATATGATTACAATGAAATATAAATACCATTAACAATATTAGTGCTTACATAATCGGAGCTATCTATTTTTTATAAATTCACCAATTGACTAAATATGATCAAAATTATTTAAAAGCCATTTAAATATTCTCATACTATCATCCCTATTATTTTCTAATATAAAATAGGTATACCACATGTGTATTAAAAAGTTGTATAAGATATTAATGATCAAGGGCGGACTGGCCAGGTGTGCTAGTGTGCCGTAGCACCTCGTAGTGTAGTATTTTGTTTGTATACACATATCATACAAAATAAGTTATAAAAATTTGGTTTTAAAATTTTTTTAAATTTAGATTGCCTTTCTAAAAAATATACTTGGCATCATGTCTGATATATCATTAGGCACAAAATAAAATACAGGCAGTTAGTAATATTCTTTGAAAATAAAATAACTATTGACTGCCTTGMCAAGGTAAAGCACATGYGCTACATACRGCCATAATCCTCTGTAGGTTGCAGTACAGATCATATGACAAGATTTTTATAAGTTTCAATATCACAGTTTTAATATAAGTAATAATATCAAAGGATACGATCCATTTTGTAAATAATTTTCTGATGCTTTCATAAGACACTCTTTGCTTTCCTTATATGATTTTCCAACTCTAAAGCAAATAGCTGAAAAAAAAATATTTAACAAAATAAGTTAACTTGATTTTTTTTCAAGAACGAGTTTTAAGTAAGCAACTTAAGATATTTATCTTATTTACAGATCTTAAAACARAAGAAAATTCAAAAAATAATTTGTTATGTAAGAACAAATTTGGTAAAGTATAATTTGAAAAATTATTATAAATTTTCATTTAAATTAGGTTTGATGGTTTAAAAATCATAAAAAAATGAATTAACAATTTATAGAAATCTAGCGATGATGGAAAAATTGAGCAACAAGAATATCCAATTATTGCAAGCTAAAATAACTTTAAGTGGAAACACTGAAATCATATTTATTTTTTCAAATAGTACTTAAGAATATTGGATAAATTGTTTATTTAAATTAGGCCAGGTACTTGTGTTAAATTATCAATTTATAGACACATAATTACTGCCTCTTGGATGATCATTATTAACTTAATAAATTGTTGATGCTAATTTCTAAACACTACATGTTTTTTTTTGAAATCCCTTCAAATACTCGTACAACATGATTATCTACCAACAGCACGATCACGTATGTAAATCACGAATAAAGTTACCTGCTTTTGAGTATTCGTCGGCTGCACTGTCGTAATCAGGAACCCATTTCAACAACGATGTCTTCAGACTAGAAACGAAATAATATATTAGGTATCAATCAATAAAGAAATTAAGAATAATTTTAAAGCAAAATAATAAAGAAAACATTTCAATTACTATTTCGCAGCTTTGTCCATACACTCCCTTCCCTCTTGGATCTTGTCTTTGGACATGATCCACTTTACCTCAAATCGCAATAAACCGTAAAAATCCTTGCTTAACCGCGCCTGTAACTTGCGCGAGCAGAAACAATTTTAATAAAATATGATATGATTATTTCAATTTATTAAGAACTTTCAGAAATTTCAGTAGGTACTATTCAATATTTACAAACGTCGTCGATTGACATAGTCGAATCAGTGATAAGAACTACCAACCATTATCACAAACTATGGTGATATCATTAACAATGATAAGTTTTTTAAATTTTTTCTACGGACCAAGATATCGTGATTTTCTCATCTAGAAAAACGAGATTTTAAACATTTAAACATTYTTATAACTAGATTTGTATTATAATTTATAAATATAAGTAAATAATAACAAAAATAAGGTTAACAGAGTTTTAAATAACCGAATTTATTGCCTTACAATTAAATTAAGTTATGTGTCTTTGGTTTAACAGGTGAAAATGAATGTTACACCTAAAAACGGTAGAACTTTAATCATGATTTATATGTATAGAAAAAAATTTGATCATTTAAAACTCTGTTGATCCTAATTTTGTTATTATTTCATGTATAATGCATACATTGTCCTAGTTTATACCTATACAGTTTTAGAAAAAAAGTTAACTTTGCCGCATTTTACATAGATACATCCAAAACTACAACCTAATATTGTGAACATTCAACATTGTGATTCAGCAATTTTTAGGATAAATTTCTATTGCCTACTATAACTAATTATGGCCCGGATTTTTTTCGCGCTTTCGTGTGAAGACGTACATTCCATATTTGTAGGAACCTAAAAACTTATTGAAAATATTAAAATAAATATTTGTATTTTGGAATTTAATTTTCCTTCCCATTCTACACGTCATAATGTCTGCAGAATTATTATTTATTACTACTGAAATTAAGTTAAATATTTTATTTTACAGTTTTTATTTTGAATTGTTATTAAAGATTTTAAAATTTTAAATTAGATACATAATTAACATAATAATTATTAATTAAAAATAATTAATAAGCCAATATTTATCCCCATACACAAAATATAAAAATCTATTAAGCATTTGAAATATATTTTATGCATTCTTGTCTCATTTCGTATCTGATTGCTACATTATAAAATAAATCCTATTCTGTGGTACTGACTTTACCAGCACTAGGAGACTAGACGAATAGGCAACTGCACATGTGTGTTTGAATGGCGTCGTTCAAACGGCGCTACTTAAGTCGCCGCGATTGATAAACTGACGYGACCAGTCAACTGGCGACTAGACATGTCGGTCTCCTCGCTACTTTGGTTGGTCGAGTTGCTTGGTAATTTTTATTTCATGTATAATAAAATATTATAACATGGATCAAAATTTTAATATAAAATTTGTGCAACAAATAGAAAAGTATCCCGAGCTATATAATTATACCTTAAAAAGCTACTCCAAAAGAAATATAAGGGAAAAAGCTTGGAGTGAAGTAGCCAC